GACAAAAGCAGCCATGTTCTCAAGTGCAACAGTTCTCATTGCGTAAACAAAGGCTCTTCACTACTTATTCTCTGCCTGATTCCAATGTCCATCCCCATTATTCAGCCATAACACAAGTGTGGGGAAATTCAAACCTTGTCATGGGTGTTTGTGGGACGGGGCTCTTTGTATTCGACGCACTGAAGGATGAAGGGCTGCAGCCTTTCATGTACAATAACGGAAGTGCTCAAAATGTCCGAGAAATCGTAGGGCCAGACGACATGTATGCCCCGTCTTTCGACTACTTGGCATCTCGTGTTCTCTTGATATCCAGAGACCGCCCTGCACTGTGCAGGTACTTGTTGTAGGTTTGTACGATAGATGTCGGATAATAGCATATCATAATGCATCAAGAAACAATCAGCATACATTCTAGGAGTTTATGTTTGGCCTCTCATGGCATGCTATTTAGAACATATAAATGCTTATGTTTTTGATTGCAGACTTGTTTTGGTTAGAAAACCAGTTAAGTGCAGCATGGTGCTGACTTTCTATGATGTAGTGTGTTTTAATTTAAGAGTGAATAATGTTTTGCAGTTTTGGTTTTCCTGTTGTTGATATTCACCACATTGATCATGTTAACGTTCATTTCAAGGCATGAAGAAAGTGTTCGATGAAGTGTTGTTTATTAAATGAAATAAACGAGAACGAACAAAATTTGTATTTTCATTTAATAAACGAACAAATACTAAGAAAGTTGTGTTTGATTTGTTTATGTTCACAATCAAGTTCATTTGAAAGCTAGTTAATAAACTTGTTTATAAGTTTGTTTTTGGTTCTTTTACTTTATATTTTTTCTACATTTTAAATATTGGTGAAGGTAGAGATTATCTCTAAGCCATTGGTTCCTTGAATTAGGATTAAGAAGCCCCCAATCCTTAACAAAATCCCAATATAATTGGTAAACAGTGGCCACAACCGTCACCAGCACTATGCCGAACCACAGGCTGTTGCTCTGTGTCGCATACGTTAGCCGAGCACCCGCAGCCATCATGGTTGAAACATACTTCCCCATGTTAGCCAAATGGTTCAGGATCCGATTCGTCGAACCATCTTCTCGCACACTTGAAATCGAATCGAAACCAAAAAGAAACACAAACATGACACAAGTACAAACGTATTAGAGTCCGTATGAAATGTATATGAACATGATTATACGACTTGCAAGGTTTATAGTTTACCTGTAGGGAACGCCAATAATACGGCGAAAATGAGATGACATAAACGAGCTGCCGGTAAAGTTGTCCGTTCTTGCAGGTTGAATACTGGTGAGTTTTGAAGCTTACGGTGAGAAAATAGCAGGCTGTTGACTCCAAGTGTCTTAGCAATGGAACCTGCAAACAGCTAGAAAATGCTCTGATCGAACTTTGTACAAACTCGAAGAAATCGACAGTGAAAAGGTTGACGAGTAAAGCTACCTTGTAAAGTGGAGAGCATATTATGTTACGAATTATTCGAAGGAAACAGTATCGAGATGGTCGGTATAAGATATCGAACGGACACACCAGCAAAGTTATAAATACCTGCATTCGAGATCGGAAATCAATACAAAAACGGACTCATATATCCTAACGTACGCTTTCCATTACCTTTGAATGTGTCATACACGAATATTTCGAGAAAAATGAAGGAATCGGATTCGATTAACGAGCCAGGAGGAGAATTCCAGGGCTAGTGTCAACATGAGTTGGAGGAAAGGCAGCAGCACTGAGGAGGTGATGGATGACCAAAGCACCAACAACAGAAGTCATCAATGTGGTGCAAATAAGGAAGGCGTCCCTATATTTAAGGGCAGTGTTTGGGGCAAACTCAAATATGAAGTTGTAGTTTATTCTTGTGTTCTTCCACATCAACAAATTGCACCCATATAAGAACAAGTGCAAGCTTAACAACACAAATACACTGCACAAACGCCATAGCCAAAAAAATGCAAAAAGGATTAATACACGTTTTGGTCCCTATACTATAGCTAAATTATCAGTTTGGTAGTAATAAGGCGAGCACCTGAAAACAGGGTAGACAGCTTCCATGTAAGCTGTTTCAGTGGTGGGTGAGAATATACCACTCAAGTGTGCCATCACTATGTATATACCAAAAAGTGATACAAAAACACCTGTAAACAATCCTGCAATAAATAAAATGTTGGTTATTCGATGATTGTATTCTTCGTATTCGTATCTGAATATGAGTCGAATATAAATATCTCGTAAAACAGAAAGACAAATTAATTACCAGAGAAAGAGGTGACCATGTGAGAATCTTTCTGCTGCTGTGGTCTCAAGAACTTCATGGCTCTTTTCCTGTCATTGTTGGCAAAGTACTTTGTGAATAGACACTCCACTTCGTCCATTAACCTAACAACCTGTAATAAATTTCAGCATGAACAAACCATTAGGTTACAAAACAATACATTTGTACTTTAAAGTATCAATAAATATCAGCATGAATAAATTCATTTATCGAAATGTTATTCGAATATTTTAAAAGAACAATAAATCCGATTAGGAACAACGTTCATGTTATGCAAGTTACCTTGTCGGAGCAGATGAAATGAGATCTCTTTACTGCTTTCAAATAATTTGCTGATACCTGTTCACGTAAGATCGAAACTCTAAATACTTGAGTAATCAGATTCGAGTGTATAAACGTAAACTTTTTAGATATATAAATTATCTCGTCAAACTTCTCGAGTATCTTTGTAAACGCCACCATATTTAATGAGCTGCCAAAAATAATTTTAACCTCAGTATGTATACGTGCATGTACATATATGTATATATAAAAAGGAAAAATGAGAAAACCTGCAAGTTTTGAGCAATTCAAGGCCTCTGTAGAGCTCAACAAATGCAGTCCTAATCATCTTTTCAGCACATTGGATCTTCTTACTGTTGATGAAATTCCCAGCCGCAGGATCTTGTTTCATGGGGTTGTTGATCAGATCTTCCAACAGTAGGAGCATCGATACTACTGCCATTCTTTTCCTTCCTTACAAGCTAGCAGTAAAATATTGATACACTAGTAGGAGCATCGATACTCAGGGCAGTATCGATACCTAAGGCTTGGTATCGATACAAGGTTGAGTTTGGGCAAGAATTTTATAGAATTTTAAATAGAGTCTAGGTTTCCAAAAGCTTATATTTATTCTAAAATAAGACTGCAAGTGAACACAATATTGATGTTTATTTAAAATGCATAAACGAGATAAAGTAGGATCAAATAATACTAGCCTTGTTCGTATGCTAGGGAAACGATCAAGACACCCGAGGTTCATACCAGACAAGAGCAGATCAGAGTATGTTTCAGTATTTTTAAAGGTTATGTATATTTTTAATCATTGTTTTCCAGTTGAGTTATAGATTCAGTTTAAAGTTGGTATGTATTATTTTGATACGTAAATATTTTATTTTGGAGCTCTCCAGTATATAGTTTTAATTATATTTTATAGTTGATTTTATAAAGAAAATGCTCGTTTTAAGATAAGAAAAGGAAGAAATAAATTGGTCAATCATTCAGGTGGTTACGTGTAGCACCCTAATTGGTCGATTGTGTGTCGTACTAGTCTAGGGTGTTACACGATGCATAATTTTATGTTAAGGGGTGAGGAGACGAAAACAAATGATCAACAACAAAAAAATGATCATTTTATTTATAAGAGAATTTAAAAATTTTAGAAAAATGATCATCTCTAATTATATTTATTTTAATATGTCACCAAAACTTATGTGCAAACTTATAGAAAAAAAATGTGTAACTAGAAAAAAGAATTTGTAAAAAAATCATTAAAACTAATATTTAATTTAAACTTTATCACCACCTTAAAAATAAATCAAATTATTTTTCTCTTCATTTGTAAAAAAAATAATTAAATATTATTTATTTTATAAAATTTATATTAAATTTTATTTAGTTTTTAAAGTATTATAGGTCAACAAAAAAGTTAATTATTTATTTAAATCAAATTAATTTTTTTTGATATAAAAAATATTTTTGTTTACATAGATTTATTTTAAATTTTTAGTTAAATTAGTATTATTAATTAATATAAATATTAATTTAATTAAGTAATGAATAAAATATGAATTTATAATGATGGATAAATGGTAATAATGTAGGATGGGTGGTGCTGACAAAGTAGTGGGGCATTGGATGGTAATTAATATACATTAAATAATTAAATTTGGCAGAAACCAAATTATAAGCTTTACCTTTTATTATTAATATTGTCTGAGAAGGTAATTGAAATAAATTAAAATAAAATTTAATTGTGTTAGGGTATGAATTATTATTTGAACACAGTTTAAATTAGAATTAGTCAATATTATAACATTATAAAAAATTACATTTAAATTTAAACAAACACTTAATAAATATATTCGAATAGACTAAATTTAATTTAAAAATAAAAAATATAAATAATAAAATTATACTCATAAATTTAACTAACTAAAATTTTCACTTAACTCGATTTAATCAATTCGAGTCGACTCAGTTGAATACTTACCCTTTACAAGAGTAACTACCTGAACCATGAAGCGAGCAGGAAGATTTCAAACTGGGCCATGGACGTTTCTTTCAAGAAACTGACTTTGTTTTTTTTTCCAAAATTAAAGATAAATTCTTTTGAATGGTACATTTATTAATTAATTTCGTTCAACAATGAAAATTTCATGCACAAATCTCTTATTTAAGTGATTAAAATAATTATTGTTGATTTAAGAAATTTTGGTTCGAACACTAATAATTATGGTACGATAATAAACGTTTATTATTAAATGGATGAGAATATATTTAAAACAAATACTAATCTCCTTTCTTTCACGACTTCAAGACAAGAAAAACCAAATTGGTAGAGTGTAAGATTTCATAATTTAATGCACTCATACATACTTCCACCATATAAAGCTTCAAACCCCACAAAAACCAAAACTTTAGTCCAAAACAAGAAGATAAAGCAGCAGAGGAAGCAAAAAATAACGGAAAAGATGATGGCTTTGCTTTGGATTCTTGCTTTCCAAGTGAAAAATTAAGTACCCTTTTCTTCAGAATTTGAGTAAATTGTGGAAAATGCACAGTGATGGGAATGTTAGGCGGGCTCAGTCAATGTTTCTTAGCAATGAAAAGGTAGTTTTTATTAGCTGTTTTTAACCCCAATTTGGTCTTTTTCAAGTTCAATAATGATTGTAAATGATTACATTATTTTCACTAGTAATTTACCTACAACTGTAGCTTTCAATTTATGATATTTTAGTGTTCTTTTTTCTATTTTTATGTGGCCTGGGTTGCTCTGCATTCATCATGCTTGACTTGAATTTTCTGGGGTTTTTTGTTATTTATTTGTGCGCTTTATCTTTGATGAGAAATTTGGCTTTTAAGCCCAGTTTTGGTGGTTTTCTCAGCTTGGACTGCTGGAAAATAGGTACTTTTTTTCTCTTCAATTTTCACTTTAAATTCATGGTTCAGAGTTGTAGGGTTCCAAGTGCTGAGAATTCTGTAAATAGCTAGGGTTGAAGTTTCTATTTTTAGCATACAATGGTTTGATATGATTGAGCATTAATGTTTGCATTTGCATGATACTTATGTTCTTTGGATTCTCCTAATTTCGAGTGCCTCGCGATCTTGATGCCATTGTTGAAGGATTTCGAGTTTAACGGACGGGTATGGCGGTTAAGGATTGGATAAACAAGCGGGGATTCCGAATTCGAGGGAAGTTTCTGAAAACGATGAGGTGCATCTGGTCAGGACAGCAGTTAAGAGTCGATGATGCTAATGCTTCTTCCGAATCGTTAGCGACTCGGGACTATTCGGTGAGTGGCTACTCATCTCGAGCAGGCGAAATAGTGGAGGCTAAGGTTGACAATAGCAATATCGAAGAAGCTGAGACGTCGCTTCGTGAGAATGGTTATCTGAACTATTCTAACTTCTTATCATCTTTTGCACCCTCTTGATCTTTGGTGTTTAAGGAAATTACTCGGTGATTTTACGGAAGGAATGGATCGATATCGATTAATGTCTAATGTTCTACTGGTTTACAGCACTTGGGCTTATTTGACAAGTAGTTTGTTTATAGGAAGCAAGGGCATTGTTAGGAAGGCTTGAGTATCAAAAAGGAAATGTAGAAGCGGCACTTCATGTATTTGAAGGAATAGATGTCGCTGTGGTGACTTCGAAGATGAAAGTCTCCCTTTCGAGAAGATGCGAACAAAACCGACGTTGCTCGGAAAGTGATGCTGCTCTGTCCATGTCTTTGCATGCCGTTAGCTTACTTCTCGAAGCTATTTTTCTGAAGGCAAAATCGTTGCAGCACCTTGGAAGGTTTGGAGGTATCCCCTTCATTTTCCCTTTGCTTGTATCAGGAAATCTCTCATGTGCAACTAGGGGTGACAAAACTCGAGTTGCTCCACAGATTTTGCATTGATATGTTCCGAAAATAGATACTGGAAGACTGAAATTTTATGCGTCCCTGATCGATCAGTGCGATAATCATCACTGCATATTTGTGTTCTTTTAACGGTTCTTTCCTGATGTTTTTACAGAAGCCGCTCAGTCATGCAAAGTTATTTTGGACACCGTTGAATCTGCCTTGCCAGATGGCCTGCCCGACAACGTGTCTACGGATTGTAAGTTACAGGAAATTTTGAACAAAGCTGTGGAATTGCTTCCTGAGCTATGGAAACTTGCAGGAGATCCCCAAGAAGCTGTATTGTCATATCGGCGGGCTCTCCTCTATTACTGGAATCTTGATACCAGAACCAAAGCAAAACTCGAAAAGGAATTTGCAGTGTTGCTTTTATACAGTGGTGCCGAAGCAAGCCCCCCAACCCTCCGTGCACAGATGGAAGGTTCATTTGTGCCGAGAAACAACATCGAAGAGGCCATTCTTTTATTACTAATTCTGCTAAAAAAGTTTCTTTTGAAAAGGGTCGGATGGGATCCATCGATCTTGGATCATCTTGCTTTCGCGCTATCTGTTTCCGGGGAACTAAGAGCCTTAGCTCATCAGGTCGAAGAGCTGCATCCAGAGATCATGAAAAGAAAAGAACAATATTGTATGTTGGCACTCTGCTATTATGGGGGAGGTGAGGACATAATTGCTTTGAATATTTTGCGGAACCTTTTGAATAGCCGAGCCAACCCGGACTGCGTTCTGGAATTCTTGCTAGCCTCGAAAATCTGTGGGGAGAATACGAGTGCTATCGAGGAAGGGGCAATTTGGGCTCAGAAAGCTCTTGCCAGATTGAATGGCGGGTGTTGGCAGATGGCAAGCAAAGCAAACTGCTTACTTGGAGTTTTATTGTCAGCTCAGTCGAGGTTGGTTTCTTCCGATTCTCAGAGAACTATGCAGCAGTCCGAAACAATCGAGGTGCTTGAAGCCGCAGAAAAGATGATGAGAGAAAGGGACCCGTACGTCGTATTCCATCTTTGCCTAGAGAATGCTGAGCAGAGAAAGTTGGATGTTTCACTTCACTATGCAAAGCAACTCCTGAAACTCGAAGCAGGGTCTAATGTTAAAGACTATGTGCTTTTGGCTCGCATACTGTCCGCTCAAAAACGGTTTTTCGATGCAGAGACGGTAATTAACGCCGCTCTTAACCAAACTGGGAAGTGGAACCAAGGAGAACTGTTGAGAACTAAGGCTAAACTTCAGATTGCACAAGGCCAGTTAAAAAATGCAGTCGAGACATATACTCATCTTCTTGCCGTTCTCCAAGTTCAGCATAAAAGCTCGGGTTCCGGAAAGAAACTTCTAAAGGTAGCTTCCATACTCCATTTTAACAAATTTATCCATTTGAAGTTGAATCTGTTATAAAAAAGGAATAATTCGAGTTTCCTGTCCGATAGAAGAACTCGAGAAGTGTCCTTTTGATTGTACCATATTATCGAGAACCTTTTACTTTTTAGTTCCTGCATGTTGATGCTGAAACAAAGAAGTGGCTCATTATGCAGAGAGTCCTGAACTTTAGACTCATGTAAAACAATAGTGTAAATAGAGAAGAAAACATCGAAACTTTTATAATTGTTTCCGGTTTGCAAGTTTTATGGCTACATGTTATTCTGAGCCACTTCAAATCGAGTCACAGAGAACTGCACTAGCATGTAACGCATAGAACCCGAAGGCGGTCAAATGATTCTTATGAGCTGCTGCTCTTTCCCTTACAGACTAAGGGAAAGTGGGATCGAAGCTTGGAAATGGAAACATGGCATGATCTAGCGAACGTGTACACTAGCTTGTTGCAGTTTCGGGATGCCGAGGTCTGTCTATCCAAATCCAAGGCGATCAGTCCTTTCTCTGCTACTAGGTGGTACTCTACAGGTACACACATCATTTATATGTACTCGTCATAAATTATTCTAGATTGTGTGATCGCCGATCATTTTATATGGTGAGCCGAACTAGCTCGCTAAAACCGGATGGTGGTTTCGTTAGGTTTATTAGACGAAGCCAAAGGGCTTCACCAGGAAGCTCTGAGATCATACAAGAAGGCATTAGATGTTGATCCCACACATGTTCCAAGCTTGATATCCACTGCTTGCATTCTCAGACAGCTTGGTGGTCAATCCATGCCCATAGTGAGAAGTTTTCTGATGGATGCCCTTCGACTTGATCAAACCAACCCGGCCGCCTTGTACAATCTCGGGTTGCTCTATAAAGCCGATATCAGTACATCGGCAGTTGAGGCGGCTGAATGTTTCGAGGCTGCTGCATTTCTTGAAGAATCCGCCCCAATCGAACCCTTTAGATAAAACATATTTGCCTGTATTTGTTGTGTAATTTTGGACATGCCATCTTTGTAAATCTTAGCTTAGGTGATCTAAAGTTTAAAGATGTTGAAAAAAAAGTTCTAAAAAATGAATTTTTTTGTGAGTTTCTTCAAATTACTGCAATTTTATAAAAGATAATTAAAATTTGAGTAATATCATAAATCATACAACAAATTTTTAAAGGTGAAACTCCATGGAACATAATATTTAAGTTTAGAAACAGAACTACATCAAAAACAACCAATCTAAGCTCTTTTATCCAAGTCTTCAAAACGATAATGCTTCCATATATCAAGGAACACTTAACACAGTTCAATTCACGGCTTCCAAGATTTTTATAAAACGTTTTATTTCTTTGTAATCATTGGTTTCCCCGCATGTTCTCTCTACGACGAACGTAACGAGTCCGGTCGTTGTACCTCGGTCTGTCTTGTGCCCTTTGAGGCTGTGGTTCCACCCTCCTTTGTCTTTCGGGTGATCTTTGGACAATCTCCCCATTAACAAACAGTTCAGCTGCAAAGTAAAGTATTGCAAATGTCAAATATCATATACATTATGATGAGACCATACTACAAATTCAAATTGTCATGTATCATCTCGAATAACAATGTAACTCAGTATATAAAAGCACAAACGTCAACCAAGAGGGCTTTGATGTTAGTCCATATTAGCATTCAAAGGCACACATTGCCAACTCAAGGCTAGTAGCTTTTCCGAGATGGACTGCGATAAGTGGGCTTACAAGCTTTTGAATATAGCATTTTCCCTAAACTCCTAAAAAACAATATCGACTTCATCTTGTCGATAAATAGCAAGCAAACATAATATTATTGACATGAATAAAGGACAAGAGAAGTGAAATAAATGTTTGGTTATTGCTCAAAAGAAGAAGCAATAAGCTATGTGCAAACACAAACTAATGTTTCATCTCCACAAGTCCAAACACCATGTAGGATGCGATCAGAAAGTCGTGAAAGACGCATTCAATGTAAGTCCATTAGCATTCAAAACTAAACATTGTCGTTTTAGCTTTGCCAAGATGGACTAAATGCATAGGTAAAATACATGACTTGGTCCCTTTTCATGGTGCACACCATATAGTATAATGTCTGCTCCGATTCTATTTACTGATCTGTGTTCCATGTTAAAGAAGGAAGCACAAAGCAGTGACAGGGGCATTCAATTTAAGTACATTAGCATTCAAATCTAAACATTGCCCATAAGGCTTTTTAGCTTTGCCAAGATGGACCGGCGCGAGCTTTTCAAAACGGAACTGGATGTTCCCTATTACTCTTACCAAATATTAACATGCTAATTACCCCGTCGAATTAGAGTTCAATTAAACAAATAGAGCATTCCCATGACTTTAATATCTACTGATAGGCAATTACAAATCATAATACAGGACAAGAATGCAAGTGCACAAGAGCAAGAAGAAAAGGACCCATGATAACCATAGTTAACTATTAAACTGTCGACGAATCTTATATACAAAATCAAATCACCAGGCACTGCCAGATGACCTACGAAAGAATGAGAAACACAAATGTTGAAATGGATGCACATGTCTTCAGTTAACCATGAGCATATCTATACTTGAAAAAAAAATCCACAAAATTATATTCGACTAAAAGGGCCAACAACTTACCCCCATAGTCCTTGTTCTCGGGATCAACATAAGAATCCGGGAGAACGAAGAGAACACCGGGCAATCCTGTTAAGAAAAGAGCAACAGATTTTACACAAAACATAAACTTGCATTAAGGAATGTAAAACAAATAATCCATCAGCTTAAGGGAGCTAAAAGCAAGACCTTCTAGCTTATTTGAAGTTCCTCATCGATCTCGCATCCGAATCCAAAGTACCTCTCGCACGAAACATTGTAGATCTTCTTCTTAGCTTCTTCCTCACTAACATAGAGAAAGAATCAATCAATTAGCTATGTAACATTGTAAGCAACATCAAAGAACTCACCAAATCCCGAAATGAAATGTATAACACAAGCAATGCTACTAAAGAATGAACTATTGTGAAATCAAAGCTAAACCCAGAAAAATGGATAACTTTAAAAACCAAAATATTATCTTTCTTTGCAAAGTTAACCCAATTTTTTTCCTCCCATTTTCCCACACTTTCTCAGCATCCAAACACCCAAAACAAACCTGCCGACGACTTTAGCGAGAGTTTTGATATAGCAATCAATCATTTCCTGCTTGGTAGCTCCTTCTCCACCAGGCTTATCCATAACGATAAGCCAGTGCTCATAATCGCACCCGGGAAACAGCGGTGCCATTTCGGTGGGCGGCCGGTCGCTGAAGTTGGACCCCGAGTTGAGCGGGGAGTAAGCGGAGTTACCGGAGCGGTTGACGCGGCACCGGATGGAGGTGAAGCGCGTGGCAGCGAGAGGGAGACATCGGACGGCATGGGAAAGAGGGGAAACACGGCGGGAGAAGCGGAGAGAAGGGATAGGAGGTGAGTGGGTGATGGATTTTGAGGAGAGGAGGCGTTTAGGGATGTGGAAGGAGAGAGCAAGGTGGCGCGTGAAGGTGGAAGTGGCGGCACGTGTCAGGGTTTGTGCCATGGTGAAAAGAGATTGGATTGATGTGATAACTACGATAGTGAAAAGCTAAGATGAGGGTTTCTGGAGTTGAAAGGTTTTCGCTTGATATTTATGCTCTCACTTTTGGGCTTTGAATTAGACCCAATTGTTTGGCATGAATATTGAACATATAGTATGGATTTTCATTTTTATACGGGGTGAAGTACACAAATAAACCCCGACTATAGGATATTATTTTATTGAATCCTTTAACTATTAAAAATTATAAAATGATCTTTTGATTATAGAGAGTTGCTTTGTTGAATCTCTTGACTATTAAAAGTTATCAAAATGACCACTCGATTATTTATTATATTCCAAACTCATCATTTTTTGTTAAAAAATTAACGGTCATATGAGTTGGACATTAACATGCTCACTGAGACTAGGGGTGTATTCGGTTCGGTTCGGTTTTTTACTAAAAATTGAACCAAACCGAAATAAATGGGTTTTCAATATTTAAACCGAAATCGAATAGTTAAAAAACCAAAAAAACCGAAACCGGTTTTCGGTTCGGTTCTATTTTTTTAATGGTTCGGGTTTTTCGGTTCGGTTCGGTTTATCGGTTTTTCAAAAAAAATCACTTGAAACTATATTTTTTTTACAAAAATTGCCTATTCGGTTCAATATGGAACAAATGGGTTCCATATGGAAAACCCGAACCGAACCGAATCAAAAAAATGAAGCCTTTAAACCGAACCGAAAACCGAACTGTTTAAAGCCAAACCGAACCGAACAGAACCGTTTTAACTCGGTTCGTGTCGGTTTTTTTCAGTTTTCTCGGTTTCGTTGCTCAGCCCTAACTGAGACATGATAGTCGTTTGAGATTATGAGATCATATTTTATCATATCTCAGTCAGCAAGTTAACGTATAACCCAGATTCATCAAATTTTTAACGCAAATGATGTTTGGAACATAATGAATATTGAGTGACTATTTTGTAACTTTAATAGTTAAGAGACTCAAAAAAGTAACTCCTTATAGTTGAAAAATCATTTTGTAACTTTTAATAGTCGAGAGACTTAATAAAATAATATCCTATAGTCAATGATCGTTATGTATTTTACCCTAATTATTACATTTTCAAAAATTATAATAATTATTAAATCTATTAATTATTTATAAATTAATTATTATTATATCAAGATATTATAAATAATCATGTTTATAAATAAAAATTGTTAGTTTTCTTTTAAAAAATAAAATCACAACAAATATTTACAACATAAAGGTAACTAAATACGCAATTAATATTTCATATTACCATAAAACAAGAACTAATCATTTAAGATCATATGAAAAAATAAAAAAATATCAAAAAATTAAAAGAAAAAATGATATGATTAGGAATGGGCATGGGCCAAATCAGACGGGCTCTAATCCGATTGGGTCGGATTTTTTTTAAAAATGGGTTCAGTTCTGGTTAGGGTGAAAAATACCCGACCCGACCCGAAAAATATATAATTTTACCTTATATATTTAGAATAATTACAATTATACCCCTCTATATATTTTTTTTCAAATAAGTCATTGTTCGGGTCGAGTCGGGTTTCTATTTATATATCAAGTCGGGTTCGGGTCGGGTGAAACCTTATTTGGTCGGATCAGGTCGGGTCTCGGGTAGACTCTCTTGTTCTTGGTTTGGTCGGGTGGACCAAAACCCGACCCATACCCATCCCTAGATACATCAATCTAACTATACCGAAAAATAAATCACAAATATCATATACTAATATACACAGCTTTCAAATTCGAATCCATTACACCTATATTATTATAATATTACTAAATATAATAATAATCGAGTTCATATGAACTCACAAAGTTGTGTACATAACTGATAACATGGATTTTGCGAATTAAAAAGAAATTTAATGTCGTCGGTTGTCCTATTATCTATAGAAACCGTCTTATAATTCGGTCATTTTCCAGTTCAATTTTTATTTCATTATAATTCAAAAATCATATATTTTTTTAAATATAGTTGTGGGTTCTATTATATATACATTTTAAAAAAAATCAGAATCGGATCAAATTTTTTTAAGTTATGTTTGGGTCGGGTCAACCCGGTCATGATCTTTTGAGGCCCTAGGCAAAATAGTAGACTAGGGCCCCTTAAAAAAACATATAAACAGAACACATAAAATATATGATCGTACTTCTATTAAAATAATTTGTTGTTAATAACGGTTTAATTTTTTTTTGGGAATAAGAAAATTCTCCATGAGTTTAATGACGGGTAGAGATTTAGAAATTGAATTTTGGATCTTAGAGAGAGAGAAAGCAGAGAATTCAAGATTTCTAATGATAGTGATGAAGCACATTAATTCAAGGGTCTTTGATGAAGTTTAAGAGTTTTTTTTTGGTTTTTGATAAAGGTGTGTGTGATTGATGAGGGGATAACAGTTCATCAGTTTTTTTTTCTTCTATTTTTCTCTTATATATTTTTTTCTCTAGAACTATTTTTAGATCCAACATTGGCTCCTTCATCTTGGGCTCTTAGCGATTGCCCAACCCAGACTCCCCTCAAGGCCGGGGTTAGGTCGGGTTTATGGTGAAAAATATCGATCCGATTCATAAAAAATATAATTTTATATTTAGGCATAATTGCAATAATAATCATTTATATATTTTCTTTCAATTAAATCGTATTTTTATTGAATAAAAATAATATTTTTTTAATAAATATATTATTTCAGTCCGGGTTGAGTTCGGATTTATCTCAAAAAATTGGATCTGATTCGGGTCGGGTTCGGATTTTATCTCAAAAAATTCAATATGAGAGAATCACTTAAGTCCAAAACATAGGTAGATTAGTAAAATAACTAATAAAACGTCAATTGAGTAAGAGACTCAATTATGGGAAAAAACGTGTTACAAGAGCAAACAAAAATATTTATTTCATAAGAGAAAGGAAATAATATCAAATAAAAAAACTAAGTTATAAAATAAAATATAGATGAGATATAATATCATCCTTCTAGAAAAACAAATAATTAGAAAAAAAAACCCTAGACCCACAAGGACTTCAAAAGTGATAATGTTTACTTTAGGACTTATAGCTACAAATAAAAAGTTAAAAGATACTATTTTTAATGCAATACAAGTGTGCAAGTATATCTAAATAAAATATTAAAATTTAGGGTTATTTTATGGGTTAAGTACACAAATGGTCCCTTGACTATGGAATATTATTTTATTAAGTCTGACTATTAAAAGTTACAAAATGATCCATCGACTATAAAGTATTGCTTATTGAGTCCCTCAACTATTAAAGATACAAAATGGTCACCAGACTATTCATTATGCTCCAAACTCGTCATTTTCTGTTAAAAATTGACGGTATTCTCAATTGTATGTTAATCTACTAACTGTGATATGATAAAATCTGATTCCAAAATCTAAAACGACTATCATATCTCATTCACCATGTTAATACCCAACTTAGACAATCACCAATTTTTTAACAGAAAAGAATGAGTTTGGAGTATAATGAATAGTTAGTGATCATTTTGTGACTTTTAATAGTCGAGGGACTTAATAAAGTATCACTATGTAGTCGGAGGATTATTTTGTAATTTTAACAGTTAAGGGAATTAATAAAACAGTACTATAGTGAGAACCATTTGAACATGAGAATAGTATTAATTGATTGACACAAAAAGTCTCCCTCAACTATACTTTTGAATCGAATTGTGTTGGAGCATGACTTTTTTATGTTTAATTTGACTTATTAATTTATGTAGAATTAATATTAATAATTTATTTTATATCAACGATATAATTAACGTAAATTTTATTGCGTAAGTAAATTTCACCTCATATATAAATATCAAAATTTATTATTATCCTGCCTTTTTTAATCAAAGCCAAACCATCAACCATAGTAGTTCCAACCAACTAGAGTTAGTCCATTTATTTTTCATTGTTTTTACGATGAACTAAACCCTAAATTTTAAACCCGAATAAATTATGCCTATGGAGAGCAATAATTTTGCATTTACTGTCCAATGAAATTAAGTCAACCTCTTAACCTTCAACGTAATTGACCAACTGTCTTTTGTTATTGCATCAATCAATTTCCCAATTTATTTTCTTGACATTGTTTCCTACTTCGAGTACGGAAAAAAATATAAAGAAAAAAAACTAATAAAGCTTGACTATTTTTGTTCGGGTCGAGATAATATTATAAACTTTTAGGGGTAAAATTAAAAAATTTTGTTTTTAATAAATTAAATTGAAATCTTAATTTTTAGAGGAGTAATTTAAAAACATCCATTTAGAGGTTAGAAGGACTTAAAATAAATTATTAATTGGTTGTAGGGTCTAATAATGCAATTTCCCCAAGGTCTATGTCTAATTGTCTATCACTGACTACACCCTAGTAATAAAATAAAATTAAATCTTCTAGATTTAGCTTTAGTCCCTCGTAATACGAATGTGGTATAACTACGTATAGAGTGATGAAAGGGAAGGCCGCATAGAAAAAAGAAATTGAAAAATAGTCCCTTCCAAAAAATTTAATAGTGTTTTAATCCCGGAAAATTTTCATTTTTGTCCCATGCAAAAATTAATAGTCAATTTAAGTCCTAATACAAACTTGTTAGCATTAACCTCCACAATTCTATAATTTTATCTTACCCCTCCCAAAACAAAATGATACTCACGAAAATACTTCGAGATAAATCATATATATATCACGGGTTATTTTATTTTATCAAAATTAATTTATAATAAAATATACAATAATTTAAATAACATTATAGTACGAAGATAATATAAAAACAACATAAATATATAAATTATGGGGTATAAACTGAAACTCGTCTTTCTTAAAAAGTATTGAGATTTCAAATGGATTTTTCAAAAAAAAATTAGAGTTAATTGCATCATAAGTCCTTAAATTATAACCCTCATTTTAAATTTGTCCTTAAACTTTTGAATATTCTAATTTCATCCCTAAACTATTGCTCTCATTCTAAACCAATCCTTAAACTTTTGGAAATTCTAATTTCACCCCCTAAACTCTGACCCTCTTTCTA